AACTTGATATAAAAATTTGTATCAATTTAATATTTACAGTATCAATTTGATACTTTTAAATTAAAGAATTTATATACGTCTTAAATTTTGTGACTTGATTTCATATTGTATTTGTTTTTAGGATAAAATTATATAGAATTGACGATTAAAACAACATTTTATACATGGAAAATTATGGGACCAATTTTTTGATTAATATTAATATTATAATTAATTGAATTTATTGAATGAATTAAATTTGAATTAAATTAATGAATTTATTAATATTATGGAATTTGAATTAATGAAATTAATTAAATTGAATGAATTAAATTAATTAATTAAATTGATTGAATTAATTGAATTAATTGAGGTAATTGAATTAATTGAATTAATTGAATACAAAAGAATTTTTATTTATCAGAATTGTTCGCCAAAAGAATAATTCTGATAAATAAAAATTCTTGTTTATGAAAATCTTTCTAGATATAAATTTTGTTAAATGGAAATTGTATTATTTGAAAAATCGATATATTAGAAAATCTGCTTTATCACAGTTCAGTTAAATAGAAATTCTAAAAAATCAGAATTTTGTTAAATAGTAATTTTTCAATATTAAAATTGGGCTTATTTTAAAATCTACTTTTTTAAAATTCTACTAAATGTAAATTTGGTAATTTTTAATTTGAAACCACAAAAATTCCGTCAAGTCTAATGATATACAAAATTGCAGAATTTTAAAATAAAATTTGATTTTTTATTTTTTTTTAGCTATAAAATGATTTTTCCGCCCTACTGTGCGTTGGTATATATTCACTCATGTAGAAAAGTCGTTTCCGGTGTACTTCAAATTGAAACACTGGTTGCCATATTTTTCATTCCCTGTTGTATACTCCTGGCATTGTGTGCGCACGTTTGTATGATTCGCAAGTTAGTATTGATTGCATAGTGATTTTCATCTGTTGATAAATTTTTCGAAATTGTTTATAAATATTAATATCATTGAAATTATTATTTAAGTGAAAATAATTTTAGTAAGTGCGTGTTGTGAGAAATAGATGCAAAAAGTGTTTCTTTTCACAAGTGAGTACATATTCAATAATTATTATTGAATTATCTAATTGTTTGGTTATATAATTTCTTTGCTGTTTTTATATTTTACATTGTAATTTTAATATGAAAAGACAAAAATACATATAAATTTATACATATTTATATTTTGTAATATCCTGCTTCCTATTTAGAAATTAAAAGATTTGATTTTAATATTTCTATACATATAACTCTCTCAATTTGAAATTAAAAATAATTAAACAATTAAAGTTTTTTTAACATTTTTATCGTTTTATTAGCTTCAGTAGACTCTAATACGTGTAAATATCCAATTTAAATCAAATTTATTAATAATTATCAGAGATATGATGATTTATGTTTTAAAAATTAATTAAATTTGAAAGGAAAATTTTTCTAGTTTTTTTTTCATTTATTAAGAGAAATATTAGATTCAGAAGAAAAATTCATAAGGAAAAAAGTTGCGCTTTTTTATTTTCTATAAGGTAATGCATTATAAAAATTAAAATTTAAAATTTAAAAATTTGTCATATTTTGACCAGCCTGACACGCTTGAAAACGACCGCCCGAGCGTAGGGGTTGTTATTGTATGCGGCCCCTCAATTATTCTCTTTATTTAATATATAATAACTGTGTTTTCCTTAACATTTATAATAATACCAATTACGTTAAAATGTTTACAAAATAAAATTATTAACAATTAATTATTTGATTTGTTATTAAATTCAAATAATTATTAAATTATTTGAATTCTCCTGATATTTATTAAAAAAGCGAGAATGAAGAATATGGCGCTTCTGGTCTTTTAATCGAAGTACGGTAGGCGACACAATCGGTCATTCAGTTATATATATAGAGATCAGTGGTATTTTTATATTCAATTTTTTGTCTTTTTACATATATTTATATTTTAATTATTTAATTATTAATTCTTATTACAATGGAGGAAGCACAAGAAATCCGTATGAAATTTCCCAAGGAATTTCATACGTACTTCCGCTATAAATTTTTGTGGCCTTGTGTATACACATTCCTCGTACAAATTTCGTGTGAATTTATCTTACTAATATTCATGCTAATTTTCATGGGAAATTTGAAAAATAAATTTCATTTACAATTCTCACGAATTTTTTTACGAAAAAACATTTTAAAACGTCAAAAACTAATTCCAATCGAAATTTCATTACTAAGTAGCAAAATTATAAATATAACTATATTACGCATTTATATTAAAGAAAAATATTTTTAAATTACTATTATTATTAATTTATAATATTTTTTTAAAATGATTTACTATTGTAAATTTAATTAATTTTTTGAATAATATTATAGTTTTTAGATTTAATAAAAAACTACCTTTATTCGCAATGGTAATTCCGAAATCAAAGGCAGCTTTGATGAACATTGTGAACAAGATTTGGTTCTTGTTTTATGCTATGCAATATTGACACTAGAAAAAAATTTGAATTCTTTAATTTCAATGTTGCATTGTTCTTGTATTAAATACCCATAAACAGCTACTGATCTCCTTTGTTCCTCTTTTTCCTCATATTTCATTTACCTTCTTTTACCAACCAAATTGAAAACTATAATATTTTAAATAAAAATAAGCTTTCTTTTTGGCTGATATTTGAGATTTTATAATTACAAATTATTCAATCGAGGAAAATCAATTAATTTAATTTAATTTAAACAATTTATCTTTATTTTAGAATCGAATATTTTTGTCTCACCTGAATTAATATAATTAAATTTAGAGTAAAACAGTAATTAATTACTGAATAATATAATAAATTGAAATAAATATAGATTGAAATTAAATTTCTTCTTAGAAAAATTAGCTAGATGTTTCCCCTCTCGAAGTCGCCTCGATTATTATTATTTAAAAATTTTAGATCTCCTCGAGCCATGGATTGTATTTAATTACTAGAAACAGAAATTACATTTTACAATTATTCATTGATAGAAAAAGAACCAATTATGGGTTCAGAAAAAATTGACAGATAATCACTTAGGAAAGCAAAAAAAATCACTGAAAGATTTGATTTGTATACTTGGTGAAACATAAATTGTTACAACAACCACTGTAGAATACCTAAATTTTATTTTTAAAGCTATATAGCATTTCTATTTGATTGCGATAAAAGAGCAGAGTTTGGAGTAATAGATAAAGCACTTATTGTATTTGATTTAATGAAAATAATCAACTCAACCCTAATGCGGAGAATTATCTATCATAATTCTGATGAGTTTTGAGTTACATTAACATTAACAATTAAGAATAGTTGTATTGATACAGATTCCCCTCTTTTTTCCCAACTATCTCCCAACGTCTAAATTCCCGGCAAATAATTTTATTCGAATTCAATTTCTCGAGACTTGAATTTACCGAAAATACAAGTATCGATACCTTAATAATTAAATTAATTTGAAAGTTTATGTTTTGGCTAACACGACAACAACGAAAAATTTTATAAGATAGAAATAAATATATTTATTTGTTGTCGGGCAATAGGATTAGTGATAAAATGGATGATGGGATATTACATTCAGGAAAAACATTTCTTGGGAAAAATAATTTCATGAAATTATATGGGTATCATTGAAATATATAATTCGTAAACACACTAATTTATAATTATCAAATTGATATAAAAATTTGGGGTGCAGTTCCGAATAGCACATACCTCTGATTTCGATAAAACTTGGTATCCCTACGTAATTTGGTGCGCTGATTACGAAAATCATAGTGAAAATTGGCGGAAATTTAATTATCATGGTAAAAACCATAAAAAACACCATAAAATCATGGTTTTTTGCGTTTTATTCTTAAAAAACACAAAATTTCAAAAAAATTTTTTAGACGAAAGTTGTAGCTCTCATAAAAATACAACTTTTATGTTTTATACATTTTTCCATAAAAATGAATATTTAATGTAAAAAATGCAAAAAACCTCTAAAATACAATGAAAATTACGGAAACTGATATTATAACCCAAGGAAGGGCGAACAATCTGATTTCATATTAACTTTAAAATTTTTTATTAAATAAAAAACCAAAAACACCATGATAATGAAAACCTATACAACAGTCATGGTTAGACATATTATTTGACTCGCATATAGTATCATATTCACCATTACTCAGGATCCAACGAATTCCGCAAAATACTTTCGGCCATATCCACCCCCTCTCGCCAAGGTTTTTTTAAAAAGAAAAGCGAGCAGTACCTTACGCGGCCGAAGGCTGTGTTTACTATTTTGCGTTTACCGCTGCTGTAGACTCCACCCCACAATTTCTGCAAATTACTTTCGGACACATCCACCCCCTCTCGCCAAGATTTCTTAAAAAGAGAAGCGAGCAGTACCTTACGCGGCCCACTGATCTCTATATATAACTGGATGGGCGATTATGTCGCCTACCGTATTTTTATTAGAAGACCGGAAACGCCATTTTTAATCTTCTCGGTTGTTAAAAAGTGGCGAGAGAATTCAAATAATTTAATGAGATTAAAATATATAGAATAACAAATTAAATAATTAATTGTCAATAATTTTAATTTTGAAACATTTTAACGTAACTGATAGTATTATATTATTATTATTATTATTATTATTATTATTATTATTATTATTATTATATATTAAATTAAAAAAGTAGTTACAAAATTAATTAATTCTTATGAAATAATTAAATATATTAATTTACTTTTTCTAATTAATAATTATAATAAATAATATAAATTATTTAATGTTTAAAATTTCTAATGTCATACTTAAAAAATTTTGTTACTGTTTTCTCAGTTTAAAAAAATGTATAGAAATATTAAAGTCAAATTTGTAAATATAAAAAAGGATATGACAAGAAATAAGTATGCATAACTTGTAAAAAGTTTATATATTTTTGTTGCTTTATATATATATATATATATATATATATATATATATATATATATATATATATATATATATATATATCAATGAAACAAAGTAGACGCTGGTAATATGGCGCACGATCATTTTCCTGCTACTGAATTGATGTTTTCCAATTTAAAAATTCCAGGTCAAAATTCAGGATATTCACAATAGAATTGATTCATTTATAACATCTGTCTAAAAATCTTCTTTAAAAATATTAATTGCGGTAGGAGATACCTGAAATAGCTGCAAAAATATAAATGTAAAACTGTTACTACTAAAAGTAGTATATAGTTTATGTAAATATAATAGAAATTAATCAGAAGAAGAAAAAAAATACTAAAAGTCAAGCGTATCATAAACCATGAAATAAATGAGTATTTACAATGAATTTTTTCTACTTTAAAGTGTAATACTAAAAAAAGTATACAAATAAACTTTTAAAGTGAATTAACTAATAATAATGTAACAGCTTTAAAAAAATACAGTATGATGTTTTATCGCAGATCTGATAGAATGAATGAATAAATAAATAAATACAAACAATGAATTTTAATAGTTTGTAAAGTAGAAGTATAAAAATGGAAAAATTCTATAACTCATAGTAACAGAGTTTAAAAACAATACAACAATGTTGTACATAATAAGAAATAACAAAAATAGTTTAATTTGTTCAACAGTACAAACTACCAAACCAAAAAACAAAAACCAATGCAAACATATTAATCAAGTAATAACTTTCAAAAATTGTTGGTATGCTTTCTAAAAGAATTCTTTCTTTATCATTTGTTGCTTTTGAAAAACATTTTTCATCAAAGTGATCGCCACATAACCTGCTATTTGATGTTAATTCAAAATTTTCATCTAAATTCATATTTTTTATCCAAATTTGACGAAGTTCAGGACGTATCGGGAATCTGAAAATTAAAAAACATTTTAATTGACGATAAAAAATTATCTACTACATTTAAAAAACAAAAATTTAATTATTAAAATTTGTTATTTCTTAAAATTATAAATTTTTAGTAAAACTACTTAAACTCAAATTTTGAAGATTAATATTATTCATTGAATGAAAACAAAAACACAGATTGCATGTAAACAAATCTTACTGATAAAATAACCTTACTTCTTAAAAATTAAAATAATAACGCATATACTACAATTTATAAAAAACAATTGTATAAGTAAAATTAAAATCATATTTCGAAGTGGCAAAGTAAGTAGGAAAATATTTATAGTGTAGAACGTAACGCAAGTAAAGAAAAACAAAAATATAACCTAAAAATTAGACAATTTAATAATATTATAAAAATATGTACTCACATGTGAAAAGAAACACCTTTAGCATCTTTTTTGCCACAATATACACACACCAAAACCATTTTCACTTTTTTTAAAACTTATATTAATATATTAATATATTTAAAAAATTTTTTTAACCAGTTTACATATCAGGAGAAAAACAACACCAACACTAACTCGCGAATCACACGGACGTGCGCACACAATGACAGGAGTGTACATCTGAGAATATTAAATATGGCGACCAGTGTTTCAATTAATACTACACAGGAAGCGACTTTTCTATATGAGTCGCCCATCCAGTTATATATAGAGATCAGTGACGCGGCCGAAGGCCGTGTTTACTATTTTGCGTTTTTCTCGAAAAATAATGACTTTTGGTAAAAAATGCATAAAACATGAAATGTGTGTTTTTTAGAGATCTACAACTTTCGTCTAAAACTTTTTTCGAAGTTTTTTGTTTTTTACGAGATAATCGAAAAAAACCATGATTTTATGGTGTTTTTTATGGTTTTTACCATGATAATTAAATTTCCGCCAATTTTCACTATGATTTTCGTAATCAGCGCACCAAATTACGTAGGGATACTAAGTTTTATTGAAATCGGAGGTATGTGCTATTCGGAACTATATCCAAAATTTGTATCAAATTGATACTTTTAAATTAGTGTGTGAAAGAATCATATACGTCTCAAATTTTGTGACTTGATTTCACATTGTATTTGGTTTTGGGATAGAATTATATGGAATTAATGATGGAAACAACATTTTATTTATGGATAATTATAGGACCCATTTTTTTATTAATATTAATTCTGTAGGAAGCAAAGCGAAATAAAACACGAGTGTATTTCAGTTTAGAAATAATCTTTCTTCAAAGAGGGATGGTTCATGACTGACTGTCACTAGCCTTTCGCAAGGTTTTTATAACTTTACCTGCTTAAGGTGATTGCATAAAATAAAAATGAGGAAGGGGGTCCAAGGTCTTTTTGGCAAACGATCCTTCAGGCAAATTACAGAAGTAAGAAAACAGTGTTTTATTACTTCTCGAAAAACCCAAAAAGCAGATGTAGAGAAATATGTATTTTTAATATAATAAATAAAATAGTTGTTCCCTACAATACTATAATTAATTAAATTTATTGAATTAATTAAATTTGAATTAAATTAATTGAATTACTTAAATTGATTGAATTAATTAGATTAATTAAATTAATTGAATTAAATAAATTGATTGGATTAATTAGATTGATTAAATTAATTGAATTGATTGAATTAATTAGATTAATTAAATTAATTAATTGTTTGATGTTAATGATTGGATCCATACTTATCAATTTTTTTTCATCATATAATGATGATTCTTAAATATATACACCCGTAACCGGAACACTTTGCTTATATATAAAATTATTATTCAATTATTATTACACAATCTACAAAAAGGACAATACTTTCTTATTTACGTACTTAACAACATGTGACTGTTAGGTCACGTGAGCAACACAATGTCATGAGGCAGTAATGTGCGAAAGTATTGATTTGTTGAATCCATTATTCTTATTATTATTAGTATTATTATTTATTATTATTAAAATAAGTAGGAATTAAAAAAAAATCTAATCAGTCGTCAATTTAAAGATCCGTTTTTAATACTTAATTGAAAAAATTTTCGAACTTTGTCATTGATACTTTTATGTTGATACTCATGAATTCTTACATTTTGGATAATTATTCACAGAATATGATAATTAATCCCCCATCTTCGAATTAATTCTTGATTAATTATTATTAATTCGGAATAATTAGTAATTCTAATTAATTTAGATTTTATTATCTATTCCAATTATTTTGATATTTAATTCTTTGTTCCTTATTTTTTTTTTGCTCCAGTTTCTTGTATCTTTTTTATTTTTTCCATCGGATTTTAATTTTACTGTTCTATTTCTAAAAGTAATTTCGTTTTTTTTTATTTAAATGTGTATTTCGCATTTGAAACTTTACACAATTGGCTTAATATTATGTATATGTTTGTTAGTATTTCCCCAGGCAGCCGCACATAAAGTCGTCATACATATTTGTCCTCTTTATGTTTATATATGTACATAGCAGCCAAACAATTTAGGCGCTGACACTTGTTTGTGTTGTGCTTTTTAGAAAAATTTAATACTTGTTTTCTTTTCTGTTTCCTTATATACTTCATCATGATTATGTAAAATAAATTTTATTCAAGTTTATTAATTTTTTAAATATATATATATGTAAAACATTGCTATAATAACAGTTGGAATAATTATTTTAAAAGCACTTAAAATAATTAAGAAAAAGTTATTTACCCAGCTATAATAAAGTTAGATCAAATTCAACTAACTGAACAAATTTATTTAGGTTAAAGATGGTATTTTGCAGTTTATAAATCCTTGTTGACAATTTACTGTTAGTTAATTTCTTAAAATTAAAAATTATCTTCTGTTTAAAAAAAAAATGAAAATTCAAATTCTAACACAGCTAATAAATCCGGGAGCAAGAAACCGTTTAGAAAATTTGAATTGTAAGACGCATAGTGAATCCGCAATCTTGAATAATATTATGCGGAAGAGATGATTGGGGCTCAACGGGTAACTATAAACTTCTTATTGACACTCGTTTTTTCCTCTATTGAAGATTTACTAAAACATTTATATAACAATTTCTGTTTTTTTCTATTTTTTTTTACAAAATCATATTACCAACAACAGAAAATATGTATGTTAACCGCATATCGTAATATCACGCTGTAAATGTTATATATAAGTTTGCTGTAAAATTCAAATGATCCTCGTTAAAATTATCCCCTAGTGTATAATATTCAAAGTAATATTAATTTAGTTATTCTTTTATGTAAAGAATAAAACATTTTATTGTTAGTCTATTTTCAAAAAAATTTATTATTCATTTTAATATTTATATAAACACATTATTAAAATTTCCTGGGAATTCGATTTCACGTATATATATATAAAGATTTTTATGAAAGAAAATAAGGAAAAACAATTTTCTTTGATGAAAGTGGTGATTTTCTGTAGCGTGTGTAGGAAATAGAGTCCATCTTGTAATGGATTTTTTAACCCTGTTTCAAGATCCTTAACGTTTAAGATCATTCTTTTTCCCTCCTTATATAGAAATAATGCCTTTCGGCTGCTAGTGGAAACTCTATCATATACAGTGATGACCCTACTTTTATGATCTTGAAGTACCATATCAGTTTTAGTGGCACTTATATGCTATATAAACGATGACGAAGAAAAATTCTAAATTTCCATTACCATATATAGGTTTAGCTCCCTTGCCAGTAGAAAATGTTTTTCGTCAATATCTTAATAGTTCAGAAAATAATAATTCGTTTTTCATTAAATTAAATAAAATTAATTGTAATTACATTTAATTTATAAAATGATTGCTTGATTATTACCTCGTCATAAAGAAAATTAATGTAAATTATGAATTAACAAAATAATTAAATAAATTAAATAAAAGATATGTTGACATTGCAATGGAACAATATAATTATTACATTAATAGATTAGAAATTATATTATAATTAATAAGAATAATACAAATTAATAATTATAAAGATTACTTAAATAAAACTAACAATTAAATTGTTCAACGAATTGAAAAATTAACGGCTCCTCAGTTAAAATTTGATTAAACAATAGAGAGGGAAAAAAAGACTACTTTGGCTGAAATGATAGTGAAAAATAATTATATTTTGATAAATTCACTAAATTTTCCATAAATAATTTTAAATTTAGCGCCAACGACATTTTTTGTTATATAATCGCTTGACTCCAGTATTTCATGTTTCCGTCCTTATGTCGGTGCGTCAATCTACATCTTTAATAACGAAAACCTCTCACAACGAACGAGCATTTTCTTACAATTTATCCGAATAAAAATTCGATTTTCTTTACAAATGACAAAATTTTTTCTTTCTACTTCCGCATTTCAATAATAAAGTCAATATTAAACATTAATTATTAAATACAGGATTAACAATTAAGTAAAAATAATAAATGACGAAAAACACGTTTGTGTTCTTTTGTCACATGGAATTCCAAGATTAATTATTATTCGACCATATATGGAAAAAGTATGGGGAAAAAAGTTACAAATAAATCAAAAGGGACAATAATTCGAGAATAAATTATTAATGGGAAAAGGTCAGAACATAATTTGGTAAATTCTCAAAAAAAAATATTAAAATATTAAAAGTAATAAATGTGAAAATTAGAAACTTAATTAATTAAACTTAAATTTTATAAAATAGGATGTTTTCTCTTTGGAACAACATATTTAGAATTAATTAAAAATTTTATAATAATTTATTACAAAGCAAAGTCAGAGAAAAAATATATATATATATATTTTTTTCAGTGAATTTAAAAATGTTTTCAACGTTTTCTCGCTGAAAGTCATTTGATTGAAATTGTTTCGTAGAATAAAAGAATGAGAAAACTACAAACATTTATGTTTGCAGAAAAGGGGAGAGTAAATTTTTTTTCTTATTTTTTTCCACATTATCAAGTTTCTACAAGTGACTTACTTATATCTAAATTTATTCATGAAATTTTTTTTTAACGAATTTGTATTCCAATTTTTTGAAAAGTATAAAGTGAAAATAAAATTTAAATAGTAAGTTCAGGAATAGAAGGAGATTTACTTAATTTTTTAAATAATTATACAATTTAATCTACTTGACCGGAGTCAAGTCTCCCAATAGTAATTTCAATCAGAGAAATGAGAATAAATATGCAAAGAGAAATTTATAATAATTATCAAACATGAATTTTATATTAATTTTTGTATGTTGTGAATGTGTGTAATTATAATTATAGAGAACAATTTGTATATTAATAAAAACATTGATTTAAAGAAACTCACCAGAAATATAAATTATAATATAACAGAAATATATCAGATTACTTTTCGTTCTGGACTTTAAATTCAGACTCTCGTATTTGTCATATATGATCAAACCAAATACGGAAATAGTTCTTTTCTTTTTATTCTTTATACATTTTAATAAAACTTTAACAATCCCTTTTTAATTACTACAATATTAAAAAAAAGTTGTTTTAAAGATTTAGGAATTTGGGGCCATCAAAGCTAAATCTTTTTTTTTTTTTGATAGTTTTTGAATATAAGTAATTATTCTTATTATTTTAGAAGATCAAATTCACTTGAGCACTGAATGTTATATGCAACAATAAACACTTTTATAAAGGTTGACACTATTTCTTTTTATTTTCTATATTTTCAGATT